CAAAGTGTTCATTTCCGGCTATTAAGAGTGGTTACTGCAGTGGGAATGAATGGGAATAGCTTTGGATTAGTTTGTCCATTTGGTTTTTCCGCCATCAACATGACTACTTCTGCCTCAATGGAACTTCATTTGTGATACTTTATTTCCCAGAAATTTACTACATTCATAGGACCACTTCAGACAACTGTGGTTTTCTATTCATTTTGCACATTTGTGTTTCCTAAAGGTACAATAAGCTCATTATCAGCTTCCTCTCACACTGCCAGAAATGAGAGATGAGGTGACACTGTGTTGGTGTTTCTGTGGATCTCAGAATATGCTCTTTGTGGATCAGATGGATAGCGTGACAGAAATGGCACTTTGGCCAGGCCTCCGAACAGCAGAGCTAATGATGTGGCACTTTGCCACCCGGCTGCAGTCCTGCTGTAATTTATAGTCGTTACACAGTGTTTACATTCACAAACAGCCATACAGGGCTCGGTGCCCTCTGGCTGACACAAAACAGCCTTGCACCAGTAACAGCACACTGAAACCTGGCCTGGACCGGCGCTCACCCACTGAGGCTGAAGTGAAAGAATGAATAAATATTTACATTTTTTCATTCACAGAGATCCTATAGCACATATGATCAGTTACATTGTTTAGAAATTCAGAATTCCTTTTTCTCCTGTAATGGGCTTTGCCGCTTTTTCATTATTTGCTTTTTATGGTGCTTGTCCGTCTCTACTCTCCTGCCTGAGAAACTGTACTCTCTCTCTCCCCCTATTGTCCAGCAGACTGGGCATGATGCCCAGACACCTCGCACAGGGATGACCCGCATCCCAATGTCCAAGAGTCTGAAGACGGGAAAGGCCGTGCTGGGATCCCTGGGGATCTCGGGTGGAGTGAAGCTGGAGTCGCGAGCTGAGAGTCAGTCCATGAGGATAGAAGTTAAGAAGTCCACTGTGAACAGCAATACTTTACAAAATGGAGGGAAAGCCTGATTAGCACAACACATCTATATGGTGCTTCAAAAGAGGAATACGAAAAACTCTGATGTCCCTATACAACTCAGCTAAACATGACAGGGCACAGGAGCATTTGTTTTTGTAATTGAACAAGCCATTCATTTTTATTTTTGTAAAGTCTTTTCTACTCGTCTGTCTCATATGCATTTCTGCCATTTATATAGGCACATATCCATTGTTTTTACAGTGTGTATTGTGATGGGCATTTGGGTTAAATATTATATCAGACTGTGCTGCTACTAACAGCTTCTTGCTTTGAGTGGTTGTCTCACATATAAGGAGTTTGTTGATATGTTTTATAAGGATGCATTATAGGTCAAAACATTTGCTTTTGTGTAAATTAGGTGTATTTTTTTTCTGTAAAGGATTTGTACTGAAAAGAATTTTAAATAAATGTGATATCAGAGGGCCGTGTGTAATTTTTTATATGTCGAAAAATAAGAAACCGGGAGACAATTGTGTTTATCTTCATATCATGTCAGTCCTGCAGCATGTGGATGCTGACTTAGCTTATAGTGGGTCGCACCTTTATGATATTTAGTCCTCATTGACACTTCATGGCAGCGCCTACAGCCAGATGCTCCTCTGAAAGATGCAGCGCCAAAGGAACAGGTAAATGTGAAGATTATTTTTTTTGCTAATCTTTTTGCAAACTTCTTTTTGCAAGATAAAGTGGAACTATAATACTTGTACACAGAAGCAAAGGCAAGTTATTATCATTTTAAATGAAAGTCAAGTTTAATTGATTTGTAGAGCCTGTTAATCACAGCAGGTTTTGACCAAAGTACTTTACAGAAATTAAAAATACAACTAAACAAAACACATGAATAATTTTCTAGCACCGAAATATTTGAATTTTATGTGATTGCATTTTCAATTTCTGCTCTTACTTTGACTCTTTCTTGGACGATATGTTCAAACTAGCAATAATATAGGTGCACTCACAACATTTCAACCCTTTCTAAACATACAACTACAGTTTGATCCTTTACTATGGTTAAATGAGGTTTTCCTGGAGTGTCAGGCACACAGACAAATGTATCATTATCAAGATATACGACTAAGCCAAAAAAAAGTATCCTGTTAGTTTTTCTACATAAGAGATTGCTTACTATACAGCATAAAAAAGACAACTGTACAATTAAACAGTAGCCCACTGGTAGGCCTATTTTTACATGATTACATTAACGTAAAGGAAAAAAACAGAGCCACAGGTTCTATTTGATTATATTATACTATTAATCCTCTCAACATTAACAAGTCAGTCTGTTTGCATGATCATCATGAACATGTTTGTCTTTGGGGGGCCGTTGTGGGCTCATCAGTGAAGCCTGGTGTCATACAACTCTTGAGATTGCAATAGATATCAAACATAGTGTGCTAGTTTCCTGGGAATGGGCTTAAATGAGCTGTGCAAGCTCCGCTACACCTCACTGTAACCTTTTGTACAGGGACACAAGATTTTATGCAGGTGTGACTGATTACTTAGAAATTAAAAATGCAAATGAAAACAAACATTTCATTTTAGGCTTTTTGAGGTCCCTGGTTCGTCACTTTATCTGGTGATAACACAAAACCTTTGTATTATTTCAAAAAAACAAAACAAAAACACAACATTAACATGAAACAGTTCATGTTACAGGAAGAAACTGGACAAATGTGCTCATCACAGCAGCACCAGAAGGCTCTGATAGACTCCATTCAGGCTCAATTGCTTATCACCTGTGAATGTCACTTAGTTTTTAGAATAATGGACACTGTTTGAATTCATGAGCATTCCAACAGTATTGTGTTAAATCAAGTATCAAACCTGCACAAGATTACTTGTCTGAGATTTTAAGGGAGATTCAAATCTTGCACACTTAGATACAATCATGTCCTATTTGGACAGTGACACCATTTTAAAATTTCTATACACCACAATAGATTTGAAATGAAGCAATTAATATGTAAATAAAGTGTAGGTAGACTTTCAGCTCTATTTCAAGAGATTTAGCAAAAATACTGAATTAACCATTATGGACTCATTTTCACAGGCACAAGCATAATTGGACAATTGACTTTCATGATCAGGTGTGGCCTGTTTCCTCCTTATTTCATGACAAATTAAAGAGTATAAAGGTCTGGAATTGATTGCAAGTGCTGAATTTGCATTTGATGTTCATGGAAATGCTCAACATGTGGTCCAGAGAAGTGTTGCTGCAGGTGAAGAAGGCCGTCATCAGGATGAATAAGTAAAATAGATCTAAGCATAGCAGAAACTTTAAGAGCGGCCAAATCAACAATCTGGTAAATTGTTTACCAGCTCAGCAACACCGAAAGGCCTGGAGGACCACAGTAGTCAACTTAAGCAGATGACTGGTGAAGAAAAACACCTCCACAACAATCAAGAGACGTCTTCATGAATGTAAACATAAAAAGTTTACCTCAGCATAAAAACCCTCAAGAACAGAAAGTAGTCCAGATTAGACTTTGCTGGAAAACTTTTTTTTTCTTTTTTTGAAATAGCCTTCATTTCTGAACCAACATTCATTGGACAGATGAAACCAAGATGAACTCGTACAAGAATGGCGGGAAGAAAAGAGTATGACAGAGGATGGGGAGGCCTCATGATCCGAAGCAGACCACATCATCCGTCAAACATAGAGGCAGTGTTATGGCATGAACATGTATGGCTGCATATGGAACTGAGTCACTGGGGTTTGTTGACATTGGTGACAGCTGCTAAAAGTAGCAAGATGAATTCTGAAGTGTACAGAGATGTAATTTGTGCTCTGATTAGGTCAAATGCTGCAAAACTGATAGGACAACGCTTTACATAATGATCCAAAACATATTGTAAAAGAAACTCAAGAGCTTCTTAAGGCTTAGAAATGGAAAGCTGTTACATGACTGAGTCAGTCACTTGATCTCAACCTAAGTAAGCTTGCTTTCCTTACATACTTACATACTTCACTTACTTAAGACAAACGTTAAGTCAGAAAGACCCACAGACAAGCAGCAACTGAAAGCGCCTGCATAAAAGTACATGGCAAAGCATTTCAAAGGAGGAAACTCAGTATTTGGTGATGTGCATGGGTAGTAGACTTCAGACAGTCAATGACAGCAAAAGATTTGCACCCATCCATTATCTATACACTGCTTAATCCTCAATAGGGTCACCAGGGGGCTGCAGTCTATCCCAGCTGACTCAGGGTGAAGGCAGGGGACACCCTGGACAGGTCACCAGTCTATCACAGGGCTACACTTAGAGACAGACAACCAAGCACACTCACATTCACACCTACGGACAATTTAGAATCACCAATTAACCTCAACATGTTTTTGGACTGTGTGGGAGGAAGCTGGAGAACCCGGAGAGAACCCACGCTGCACGGGGAGAATCACGCAGAAAGATCCCGGTGACCTTCTTGCTATGAGGCGACAGTGCCAACCAACTGCGCCCCCTTGCAGCCCCAGATTTGCACCTAAATGTCAAAAATAATCCTTCTAATTCCGTTAATGTGTCCAAATAATATTGAGGATGTAAAAATGTAGGGACTACCTTGAAAGAATAGTTGTAAATTCTAAATGGTTTATGCAATATTTTTGTTAAACCTCTAGAATTAAAGCTAAAAGTCCACACTTTAGTTGCATCTTGATTGCTTCAGTTCAAATCCATTGTGGAGGTGTACAGAAGTAAAAACTGCAAGAATTGTATCACTGTCCAAATACCTATGGACCCGACTCTAGGTACCCGTTGATGAAGGGACATTTAAAATGCTATAAATTTGGTGGATTTCAAATGCCATTACAAAGTATTTTGTTGACAAAAAAAACAACAGAATTTTGCTGCATTTTTATTTCCCCCTCATTCTAGTGCTATCATTGCATAAGAGTATCACAAACAGATGTGTGTAGCATCAGCTGTTTGTGCTCAGCAGTCAATGTGAGAAAGGGGCGTGTCCACCGGGTCGATGATGTAACTGCTACGTTTCATCACCCTATTGGCTCAAACGCTTCCTGCTTCTCTCTCTTTGGCGACAACTAACAAGACAGAGGAAATCAATACGACCATGAGTAGTTATTTTGATTAAACTGAGGGCAAATTTCCCCCCGCGGACAGTTTTTTGACTTTACCGTAACGTTTTGTCCCTTGTTTCGCCGTGCGGGATTAACGACAAGCTGCCGGCTGGCAACTAAAGTGGATTATTTAGCTCGAAGCCGATTGCAGCCATGATGGCGTCCAGCTACAACGCTAAGGAAGAAGACGGACACCACTCGGGCGCTACGAGTCACGGCGGCGCGGGGGCTGTGAAAAGTAAAAAGCCGGACAACACAGCGTTCAAACAGCAGAGACTACCGGCCTGGCAGCCCATCTTGACGGCAGGGACCGTGCTGCCCGCATTTTTCGTTATCGGACTCATCTTTATCCCCATCGGCATCGGCCTGTATGTCACATCAAACAACATCAAAGAGTTCGAGGTACGTCCGCTGTCACGTCTTTTAACCGAAGCTAGCTAACCGGAATGTTTTTCTCTCGACTTTTCCGCACAATTCATTCCCATGTGACTGTAAACCTGTTGAAATAAGTACAGCTGTGTAGTTTACTCAACCAAATGTAAAACAAACAAGTTCTGTAATAAGTAGTGTCTTAAGTTTACCCTGTTTCTCTACACTGTTGATAGTAGCCACACACGTTTAGCCAGTTTAAGAAGTTAGCTAGCTAAACCCAGTGTAACACAACATTACTGCACTAAATACTGCCTTCATGAAGATTACAGTGTTCATTTTCGTTTAAACCGTGTTTAGTTAACATAATGGACATTTTTGTTGCTGTTGTTTGCGACGCTGTTGAATGTTGTTGTTGTTTTTGTTGTTGTTATTTTATACTATTTGTGTCCACCCATCCTTATGAAGGTTAGACACTAGATGGTCAAAGCATTTCCTCTTCCGGTCATTTCATATCAATGAGGCTCGACAAAGTATTAGCAATACCTTGTAATAAAATGATTATAATTTTATTGGGTCTTTTCATGGGACAAAGCAAAAGCAAGATACACAAAAATCAACATCACAATAGTAAAGACAAACAAAGACAACAGATGCAAAAATGCAGCATTCTGTTGTTTCTCTTGTTATTTTGTTATATTTCTTATGTTTGCTGTGCTTTTAATGTTTAACTGTTTTACATTTTATACCTTCTTTCTATGCCTTTTTTTAACCTGTTTGTTATTCAACTAGTTTGTTTCTGTTTTTATCTTGTACCCTGTAAAGGGACTTTGAGTATCTTGAAAAGCGCTATACAAAATAAATGTATTATTATATTATATCATATTCATCTGAAACAACAGACGTTTGGCTCTCCAGCAGAGCAATAACATTGATGTTTTATAAAATACAATTTTACCTGGCTCATTTAAATATTAAGGTTAAAAGCTTCTAGTATGATGCCCCACTTGTACCAGTAGGGATGACAAGATTGTAGAAATGTGAGGCAATACAGTTAAACAGCAGCACAAACTCGTCCTCCACAGTTAAGTTGTCAGAAACAGTTTCATCATAACCTGATTATAATGTAGGATTTGTTAACAGGTAAGTTGTTTACCACTGGTTCAGTTAAATTTACTGGTACTGCATGAACTGGCCACTAAGTCCACATGACTACACAACACCAGGAAGGAACATCATGTGTATTCTTCTTTGTTAGCTCACAAATGCTCAACATGTTCTTTCCCCTTTCAGGTCGATTACACCGGTGTGGACGTGGACAGCCCGTGCTACACCTGTGCCATGAACTTCAGCTGGAACAACACACTGCCGTGTACCTGCTCTGTGGACTTCACGTTGGAGCAGCCTTTTGAGGTGAGCTCAGGTCCTGCACCAGCTTACAGTAAGGTGGACCCAATGAATAATACATGCTTTCAGCTCCAATACTGAGAGTGCTGCCTGTGCAATAAAAGAGGGGGGAAAAAGCCTTTATGGCAATGATTGTCCATTAAGATCTATTTTGAGTCCAAAAAAGGACACTCAGTGTTTGTTTGGAACCTTTATTGTCATCGATTATTCTCGTCTTAAAATATGCAGTCCACTTAGGCTTTTATTGAGTGTTTATAAAAAGCCCTCAGCTGGTCCTGGATAACCTGAACAGCTAGGTTTTTACAGCCTAGATCTGAGTTATGATTTAGCAGAATTTTTTTGGAAAACTTAGAGAAAGCTAAGCTAAAGTGACCTCTCTCTTTTTCTGAGAACTTAAGAGAACTTATATTTGACACACACACACACACACACACACACACACACACACACACACACACACACACACACACACACAAGTATTTCATTAAAATTAGCTCATCAGATTCATTTCAGCGTATGCTCACTGAGCTGCAGATGGAGCTAATAATCCAAAGAATCCCTTAAAGGTACCCTGTGGAGTTGTCTTGTAAGCAAACGTAAGGTTATTTACATTCAATGCCACAAAAATGCATTCTGTTTACCCTCGAGATTTAGGATTAAATGTGATCAATACACTTGCTCCCCCGTAAAATAGACAGTGTGCGCTTTGCTTTGCACATTACCACCATGGGTCGTTTAGAGGAATCATGTGACACCATTCGTTGAGCTGTGTAACATGCAAAAATCAAACAAAACCAAGAGGAAGCGTTCCATTTGGTTGTTAGAGATCAAATACTCCACACATCACCTCTCTGTTTCACCTTACTAAAGTAGCCCATACTGATGCATGATTCTGATTGCAATGCGGTCTCTCTTCCCTTACAGAGTAATGTCTTCATGTACTACGGCTTATCCAACTTCTATCAGAACCACAGGCGCTATGTGAAGTCCAGAGATGACAGCCAGCTGAATGGCGATCGCTCTGCTTTGACGGTATAATCTTGGATTTGTCGCGTCTCTACATCATGCCGAGAATCCAGTAAATGCCTCTTTCATCAGCTGATCGCCCTTTTTTTCCTTTCTACAGAACCCCAGCAAGGAATGTGAGCCGTATCGTACAAGTGAAGGAGTGCCCATTGCTCCATGTGGGGCCATAGCTAACAGCCTTTTTAACGGTGAGATGGTAACTTATCATTTCTCTCCACAGCCATTCAAGTATTGGTTCCGCTTATGTGCTCAATTAATGTCTCATTTGACCAATAAACACAACTAAAGACTGACATCCATTTGCAGAAGTTCAGCTCATTTTCCACAATGTTTTTCTGTTTCAGACACGTTGGACCTGTTTCATATTGATTCCAATGGCAGCAGAAATGCAATTAATCTAGTAAAGAAGGGCATTGCGTGGTGGACAGATAAGCACGTGAAGTTCAGGAATCCTGGTGGAAACAGCAACATTACTCTAGCTTTCCAAGGTGATTTTTGCAAACTGTACACAGCACCTTTTTACACATATAAACACTTACCGTTGCAGTCACTAACATGGTTTTGTCTCCATCTGTTTCTCAGGCACAGCTAAGCCAGTGAACTGGAGGAAACCAGTGTTTGAGTTGGACCCATCGGATCCCGAAAACAACGGCTTTATCAACGAGGACTTCATCGTGTGGATGCGCACGGCTGCGTTGCCCACCTTTCGGAAACTCTACCGCATCATCCAGAAGAAGTCCAGCACCACTCCAACTCTACCCAGCGGCAAATACACCTTGGAAATCACCTACAGTATCCTTTATGCTGCAGCTGTGAAATCAAGTGTATGAAACTCAGCAGTAGAGGATCCATAGTCTAGTGTGAATGTTTTCCAGGCATCACAGGGTAAGACTATGATGTATAAACACACTAATCTTACGTCATCTTACACTGAATAGCTGTAAACCGGTTCACTGATTTACCGGGGTAACTAAGCTGAGTTAAAGCCAGAATAGGCCATTTTATGGCAGCACTTGTTCCTGATCAGAGGGCAACCTGTTCAGCAAAGTTAACCAGACATCTCAGTTAACCAGCTTCTTGGAACTGAACACAGATGGAGACGCTTTTGATTCTCAGTTGTGCAGATATGTTCTTCTTAGAAACTACAAGTAAACACTAGTATCCTAAAAGAGTAAAGCTCTACATATTGATAAATATCTGATAATGTCTTAAAATACCCCTCATTTATATGTATCTTCGTACATTCAGAGTGTATGTGTAGTGGCTCTTTGTCCTGAGATGACTCATCAAAATAAAATAAATTCAAATCAAACGGTCACTGAGGCACGTAGGGAATTAATTTACACAGGGAAAGTAAGTCCATTGTCCAGGCAAAAGTATAAAGTTTCTTCGGTTTATTTCCATTGCAAGCAAACAAACAATGACTCCTGCTGCCTCTCTTGCCCTGGTTAAAAAACCACAAACCCTCCAGGGTGCCTGCTCACCTGTACCTGCGTACCCATATATGTAGATTCACCCAGTGCCCTCGGGACCCAGTGCCTTCAAAATAAAAGCATTAACAACTACTAAAATTAGCAAAAATGATGCTAATATTATAAGGCAACTAACGCTGTATTCTTCAAACAAAACAACAAAATAAATGACTGAATATTTAACTATTAAATATTATAAAAAATGATGATAGTACTAATAACGAAAAGCTCCAATAGTATGAATTGTTGATATGTATGTTGATGTGGATGCCCTGCAGAGGATAGTTAGAGGAGCTGAGAGGGGCATCAGAGTTTCCCTCACCTCTGTCCAAGAACTTTCCAGAACCAGAGCAGGACACTGAACATTGTCAGGGACTCCTCACACCCTCTCCATAAACTGTTTGAACTGCTGCCATCAGGCAAATGTTTCCAGAGCATTAAAGGAAGAACCTCCAGACTGATCAACAGCTTCATTCCACAAGCTGTCAGAATGCTGAACTGCTGATCCAGACATGCAAACACTTCTTTAAGTTATTGGATCCTGAAGAAACGCTCTCTCATCTTGCCTCTACTACAGTGTATGTACAGCAAAATGACAATAAACTTGATTTGATTTGATGTAGACTCTCAGCACAGAAACTTCAAATCCATTTCCTTTAACTGCATGTAATCAGATTACCCCGTGCTCAGCTTTGACGGTCGCAAGCGAATGATCCTGAGCACCATCTCCTGGATGGGAGGGAAGAACCCCTTCCTCGGCATCGCCTACATCACCGTGGGCTCCATCTGCTTCTTCCTGGGCGTGGTTCTGCTCATCATCCACCACAAATACGACACCCGCAACAACAGCGCAGATATTCCAAACTGAGCAGTTTGTGTGTAGCATTTCTCAGTCTCTGCATGCACGAGCGACCCAGTGGGGTCTGCTCTGGACTGCTTGCTGATTTTTTTCGAGCTTGAATACACTGTAAACGTCTGTCGTGTGAAGGGCAGTTGCATCTCATCATGTCTATACGTAGAGCATCTAACGCATATCTGTGTGTCCCTGTGAATATAACTTCAAAGCTGGTTGCTGAGAATGTCTTTACCCGTTTCTGATTTTTTTTTTTTTTTAAATTGTTTATTTATCGATCCATTATCGAAGTACCAGAGTTTTATTCTAGCAGTGCTTTGCGAATGGCTTAACTGTTGAAGGATGTATGTATTCTTAATGTACGTTTTTGTCCATATTATGTACTGTACTATGTCCTGCTGATGAATGTACCATAATAGTTCATTGACATACCTCTTTTGAGATTACCTTGAATATAGAATGAGATAATCATTGCTTGCGGTCATTATAATAGGCATTGATGTTTAACAGGAAGTATTTAATCTCGGAGTAGACGGAGAGTCATACAATATTCATGGCAAGTAGAACCAAAAGTGTGATTATCTACCCTCCACTGTGTCGGGATTTTTGTTACACTTGACACCAAACCAGTCTTGTTTAATTACAACAGGAAAACGACCCTATGCTGGTATATCTAGTATTTGTAATTCTAAGACTGTGGCCGGTGTCTCTGGCTGATTTAGAGCACAAGAATCCTTTGGCCTGAATGTTAAATTATCTTCTTTAATGTTGACCAAATGATATGCACTTTAAAAGTGTCCCATCTGTTAGTTTCCCCGCCTTCTGTTCCACCTCCTCTTCTGTTGCTCTATGATCCTGGTTTATTATTAATGAAGAGTTTGTTTCAATTTGAAGTTCTTGGGTTTTTATAAAGTTTGTAGGGTCCAATTAAAGAACTTGGTCAATGTTTTGGTGTCGTTTGTGATTTTTAGCATAAAGCCAGAACTGCTAATGGTGTCGTTAGGCATCTGAGTTAGATCTTATTTTACTGTTGGCAAAAACTTAATCTGTTTATCCATCCATCCATTATCTATACACTGCTTAACCCTCACCAGGGTCATGGGGGGCTGGAGCCTATCCCAGCTGACTCAGGTTGAAGGCAGGAGACACCCTGGACAGACAACCAAGCACACTCACATTCACACCTACGGACAATTTAGAATCATCAATTAACCTCAACATATTTTTGGACTGTGTGGGAGGAAGCTGGAGAACCCGGAGTGAACCCACGCTGCACGGGGAGAACATGCAAACTCTAAGCAGAAAGATCTTGGGTGTCCTCACTGGGATGCGAACTGGCGACCTTGTAGCTGCAAGGCAACGGTGCTAACCACCGAGCCACTGTAAAATCAAAACATTTTTCTGTCTGTGTGTTATTTCTGAGATTTTTCCATTTCTGGGTTATTGCAGTGGTGATATCATTGTGTTCGTAGATGCTTCTCTGGAACCACTAAACAGCGACCCAGTATGTAACATGTTGTTAGATTTTATTCATTCTTTTTCACATAAGGGGATGAGTATTTTCTCTGTTGCACGGCATCGCTACAACTGAATGACATCATAAAATAACCAAGTGCACACGACATTGAAAACGATAACGGCCAGATGGCGAGTGGGGTCATAGACCAGAATGAGTCGCATATCTGTGATGCTTAGAGTTAATGAGGTCGTCTCACCCTTCCTGATGGGCTCGATGAAGTTGGTGGACATTTTTGGGGACAGGATCACATCAGTGGCATCCATCCAGACCATCATGTGGCAGATTGTCTGTTGTATCGTGCTGCCTGAAAGGCGACAAATGCTGGAGTTGTGGACATTCAATTGCCTTGCTGCCAGCTTCCTGCATGCCAACAGCACATTATGGTCTCTCTCTCATCATCTGTGGGATCATGTCATTTGAAGAAATCAGAGTCTAGATGGGCTTTTACAGTCACTGGTCAATAAGGTGTCTGTGTACTGGGATGTGCATTAACTCAAAGGTCGAGAATGTGCCATCAGTTAAATGGCTGAAAAATGTGTTGTGCACAATTGGCTTTCGGCCTTTTCTAATCATAGCAATAGGAATTAGAGTTTTAACTTTTTCTCTAAGCCAGAAAAGAAGACAATTTCCATGCTGCCTTTATATTTTTGTTATTCTTGGCCAGGGCTCCCTTGAAAAAAGGGATCTTGCAATGTCAATGGGACTCACTTGGTTAAATAAAAGTTAAATTAAAAAAGAATAAAATGCTGTAGATAGTCTAAATAAGAATGATTCCAAGGGACAGTGTTTGAGAACATGTACTCTAATCTGTCTGCACTCACTGTGATATTAATGTGAGTTAAACACAGAGACAAAGTGGGAGGACTTATTTTAGCAAAAGCACAGTTGCTCACATTTTGTATTATTTCACTAAAATCTCAACAACAGCAAGTCTACATATTTGCCCCTTTTTTCATTTATTAAAGTTACTTTTTATGTCATATTGATTGATTGATTGACATATTTATTTCAAATATGTAAAGAGAAGTTCCAAGTAAACAAAGAATTAATATTGTATGCTGTATACACATACACTCATATACATACACATACATACAAATCAAAATCATGTAGCAAAAGAAATATTCAACAATTCTGGACCAGGTCTACATATTCGAAAAGGAGTGAGAAGAAGTAAATAAACACTTGTTTAATTCCACCCTGTTTCATAAAATACTGATTGATAATTTCCAGTTTCATACATAGAAATATATATAGATATAAATACAATTTCTGTTTGTACATATAAGATACAATAAAAATATATCCAGTTATGACACTACCACTTTATATATATCTATATATATACATTCACATACGTGCATATCCATATGTCACATTAGCCAACTGACTAATAATAACAAAGTCACGTGACAGGAGCCCCAAAGCATTGTGGGTATTCGGACTGCCCGGCTCTGTCCTTGTGCTGTACTTCTGCCAGCGTTACTCGAGCGAGCAAAGTTTGCCAAAATGTTCCGACAACTTATGGTAAGAAACACGTTTATTCTGTTGTATTTGATTTTAAAACCTTCCAGTTTTGTTATTACGGTGTTTTTGTGACTTTTATTATTTCGTGCAGAACTTATTTTACTTCAGGCGCTCGGTTAACGGTCCGTCGATAAACTTTTCAAACTCAACTCAGCTTCCGTAGAGTCAAAAATAATATGAACTAACGTTGGTTAATGTTCGAAAAATGTGTTTTATTCTCTTTTTTCGGTGTTGTTCTTCCTCGTTTATAACGTCAGCACAGCTTCTAGCTAACAGCTAGCTAAAGCAGCCGGGCTAAAGCAGGTCAGGGTGAAGCTGCTGATGTTGGACAGCTGCAGTGAGCTATTGACCTCTAAAAGCTGCATTACAAAGACAGAATTATTTTCAATTTCCTTCATGAAAGTGGAAACGTGCTGTCATATAAACTGTTAATATTTGTCCACCTTTCAGAAAATGTAATTCGTTTAGCTGTTAATGGATATACAGTCAAATGTATTCTTACCCTTCCATTAAAGAAAAGGCAAAATTCACAATAATCACTTAAATAACTAGAAACTGACAAAAGTAATAATAAATAAAAAATTGTAAAATTATAATTTAGTGGAATAAGTCATTACTTTTGAATTGTGGTTTAAAAGAATAATTAAAAAAAAATAAATCACCATACCAGTCAACAGGTGTCTGATTGAGAGTTACAGAAAACAGCTGATTGAAGTGATTGTCTCAAAGAATTGTTCAACAAAATATTAGTTTATGGGTCCCATCATGCTTGTTTGCTTTTTTATTTCTGTTGAACCACAATTCAAAAGCAATGTCATGATTTTCATTAGTTAATTAATTATTACTTTTGTCAATTTCAACTTATTTCAGTGACATCTGTTTTTTTCCTTCTTTAATGGGAGGGTATGAATACATTCGAGGACAACTGTAGATAATTTTCTCAATTTACTCCATGAAAGTGGTAACGTGCTGTCGTATAAACTGTTAATATTTGTTCACCTTTCAGAAAATGTAATTAGCTCTGAATGCATTTATCCAACCTGTAAAAAGGCTCTAAAAGTTGTGGTTTTAAGTCGTATAAAACCACCTGATGCTTGATGGAGTTAAATTAAAAGATATACAAGTAAGTAATAAAAGGCATATTCACCACATTCCCCAAAGTAAGACGAGAACTGAAAATGGAAGGAAGTTTCTCTGGAGGTCTAACATTGAGAACATGAACTTGAGAAGGGCCTGGCTTTTACTGTATACGTGGTGTATTTCAAACATGTTAAAATGTCACATAAAACAAACCTTGTAACTTACATATTGCCAAATTTCTAGACATTAATATCCCTCGTACCCTCGTACAGTTAAAAGATAGTTTTTTACCTATTCTTTGAAATTTCCCAGATGTTTTGGACAGATCAGGATTCTCACTTTGTTGAAGCTGCCATTTAAAACTCAAATATATTACCTGTTATCGTGATAATAAAGTTTTCACCTTTGCTCCTTGAACTGAACTCTCGGCTGAAATCATTCCGTTTACTAAACTACAAAAAAGTGATAATCTGCTGCATGTACCGCTGTTTTTTTAAAATGATATGTTCGCCAATCTAATTTATATCGTGCAAGTTCCATCTATATGTGCTGCTGATGGTTTTTGTTAATAAGAAGCCCTCCCACCTTCGATGAACTTAATTCATGAGGTTTTGGAGAACATTCAGGGTAAGTCTGAGTAAGGTAGGGTCAGTTTTAAATCAATGTGGGAAGGACTGAAAAGAAGTAGAAAGAGATGCTATTTTTATAAAGATCACTGACTGTTGTGTTTTCTATCTGACCATCGTGTGTCTGATGTACAGAAATATATCACAAGTAAATCAAAACTGATTGAAAGGAAGAGAGTTATCATATATTTTTGGTTAAGTATGCTCTTACAGTTTGTATAACACAACGTTTATTGAGAATGATACCAAAGACGAGCAGAGTTGTCTCAGTGCACTTCACAAGGTTGTCCAGAAGATGTCACCATTTAGCAAACATTTAGAACTGAGGAACTATTTTTAGTGCTTCAAAGTGTGTGAATTTTTTCAACCAGAGTTTAGAGCTTTCAGACTGTTAATTAAGGACAATCGTTGCGCTTTGTGTCACTTCATTTTCTTCGTATCGCAATAAACATAATTTTCATCCTTGTATATATTGTATATATTATTATTATTGTATTATTGTTATTATAGTAGATGTTTTGTGCTGCTGTCACAATGTAAATTTCCCCTGATGTGGGGAGCAACAAAGGATTATCTTATCTTATCTTATCTTATCTTATCTTATCTTATCTTATCTTATCTTATCTTATCTTATTGTTATGTGTATGTGCAGGTTCTCAGTCATCCGTAACAACTGTCATCCACTGTTTCCTGTTCTTAAATCACAGCTGTTTAAACGATAAAATCCTGTTTGTGTTTGTGTGACCAGAGTCTTCAGCAGCTTTCCAGGCGGACCATCACCAGCAGCGCCCGCAGACAGATTAATAACTCTGTGAAGGAAAAGCAAAAACACTTTCAGGTACGATTAGTCTCTTTAGGAACAGCCTCTGTAAGTGTATGATTAACTTCCTCCTTGTCTTTGTATCAGTATAAACTGCAGAAGAATACCTGTCTTAGCTTGAATTATTGTTATTTAAAAAAAAAATCTCAATACAGGCTTCATCATAGTTCACATGAAAGTGAAACTTATTTGATGTGTATGCGCTTCTCCTGTACAATTCAAGAACTGTTGGTATGAGACTGTTTTCAGCAGTGTTTTAAGATGAACTCACGCTCCTAACACTCGGTACCTTTTGCTGTACTGTTAACGTGATTATGTGCTGTTTGGTTTGTGATTTATTTGTGTTTTTAAGAGATAAATCTAATTCTATCTTCTTTGTAGCCTGACAAATAAGTGAGTTTCGACCTCTTAATGTTTCACCTGTAAAGCCGGGGATGGAGTTGAACTAATTATGCTCACAACCTACTCATTCCATCCCAGAATCAATGTTCCAATGCGGCCTGCAGGCTTTGCTGATCTTGCATAGTGCTAAAACTGACTAGCTAGAGTTGACAAATGACCTCCTCTTGCTGCTAAATCCCAGAACAAGTTCTACTTCACTGTACCACATTACTTACTTGCTGTGTTTAACCAGAGATGAGCTCTTTGCCAACAAACTGAAAAAAAAAGGTGGATCGTATAGAACACAAAACATATGATCATATTATTTTTATATTTGGTTTAAAAATCAATCATTAAATAAAAAACAATCAGGAACACGTGAAGCTCAGCGTTCTTCACAGACCTTTGATGCGAGGGTGTTTCTTTCAGACGGTGCCTTTTTTCTTCTCTCTTTGAACAGGACGATAACGGCCTGCCCATCCATCTGAAGGGCGGCTCGTCGGACGCTGTGCTCTTCGGATGCACAATGATGCTCACCGTCGTTGGTACGTCAGCTGAGATTTCTCCTGACTCAGGCTCATTTCAGATTTGTGTTTCTGTTGGATAACATACACATCATACCCGCGACTTGGCCCCAGTGTTTTTACTGAAACTGTCTTTGAAAGTAAAATTACTGCAATTTCATGATACATTGTTTGTAGTCCAGAGAATTTGCTTGTCGGTGCGTCTGAGTCACATCTCTAACGCTTGTTTGATCTCTTCACAGGGGTTGGCTATGTTTTGTACGAGCTCTTCAGTGCCGCGATGCCCAAGAAGCCGCAATGATACAGGATCGTCCTCCTGGACGTTATTGTCTGATGCAGATTGCAGATTCTGTGTGTAACTCATCACCTCTCTGTTGTGCAGACTTCCGTATCAATACTATCATTATGTTTCATGTTTGAAATCAGTATTTATTAATTGTACAAATCATGAACTGCAAATAATAATAATAATAATAAATAAATGCATATAAATTAAAGTGTGTCTCGTTTGAAAACTTGATTTCTACTGGAGATGTCGTCATTTTTGTGTCGTAATGAGCTCGTGGGTTTTCAGAAACTAATTAAAAAGAGAATTTTAGTAGGTGGCGTTTGTACCTGACATGGGTGTAAGTTTAGTTAAAATGTTGAGCATCAAACACTTCTATGCACCAATTTGTGGCTTTTCTGTGTCAATTTATGGCGGAAATGTTTTCATTTATGTAAAAGAAAACAGAATATTTACGCAAAACTTTTCTGTTTCTTTCATGAGCTTATTGGGAGCAACAAATGCAAGTGTTCTGAACATGGAGGAGGATATACAGTCGTCCTCAAATGTATTCAGACCCTTCCATTAAAGAAAAGGGGAAATTCACAACAGTCACTCAAATAGCTAGAAACTGAAAAAAGTAATAATAAATAAAATTTTTCTAAATTATAATTTAGTGAAATAAGACATTGCTTTTGAATTGTGGTTGAAAAGAATAATTTAAAAAAACAAAAAGCAAAACTGTCCTGGACAAATTAGAGCACTTTGCTGATGAGCAGTGAAATCAGAATACCTGTCAACAGGTGCAGAAGTCTGACTGAGAGTTACAGAAAACACTTGATTGCAGTGATTGGCTCAAAGGGTTGTTCAACAAAATATTAGTTTACGGGTCCCATCATGCTTGTTTTTTTGTTTTTTTAAAAAAAGTATTTCTGTTGAACCACAATTCAAAAGCAATGTCATGATTTTTCTTACATTTTTATTTATTATTGCTTTTGTCAATTTCAACTTATTTCAGCTGTTTTTTCCTTCTTTAATGGGAGGGTTTGAATAAATTTAAGGACGACTGTATGCACCAATTTGTGCCTTTTCTGTGTCAATTTTTGGCAGAAATGTTTCCATTTATGTAAAAGAAAACACAATATTTAGGAAAAACTCCTTTGTTTCTTTCATGAGCTTATTGGAAGCAACAAATGCAAGCGTTCTAAACACTGAGGAGGATGAATCTTCAATCACACCACAGTGGATCCTCTCACTGTTTCCCAAGTGCGCCTGTTGTAGGTCTTTATTTCCACCACTAGAGGGCACCACACACCTTCCACTGCGCCATCACACAGGCAGCTGCTCCTCAAAACACTTTGTCATCCTCAGCGAAAGCAAATTTTCCACTGATGCTGCACATCACGAATAAACTTTAAACTTAACCTCTCCCTCTTTAGTTTTGATTCTCTGCGCATCTTGAGTGAATTATGGGAGGATAGCCAGGACGCGCACTGTTTACAAAGCGCCAAAATCCACTTTTAATTCCAGCTGACATCTGCGTAAATAAGTTAGATAAGTTTGCCTGTTGCGCAAATAAAACACTTCCCCTCTCCCTGATCCTGTGAAGTTACATTGAAATTGGAAACTCATTACATCGGCAAACCAAAGGAATCCAGAAGAGGAGGAGGAGGAGGGGGGGAGAGAAAAATATGTAATTTCCAAACACCGGGTCGGACTTAGCGGGGGACATATATCAAGAGCTTTCGTAAGAAACCCATACGATGGTAAATTGAGAGTTGGGAACTGCCCCCCTATTAAGTAGCCGGTGGTGGAAAGATTCTTCCCACTTGGAAAGAGGCTTTTCCTTCTTGGACATCTGCTGGCGGAGCTTCCAGTAGCCAGAGAGAGCAGAGAGGGGTCCAGCCGCAGCTCCTGAAACTTCTCTTACTTTCCAGAGGGGGAGGCTTCAAGCAGGCTGCTCTCAAGTTTGGTCCGTTCACTTTTTTGGGGGGGACTTGAATAGGTGAGTACCAAGACTTTTATTTTTAAAGTATGAAAGTTATTCTGACGCTTTTAATAATGAGAAGAAATCAGTTATTTTGTGCCAAATTTAGAACTTGATTGCACTTTTACGCATTTTTGTGCCAAATTTGGGAACTGATTCCACTTTTACGCATTTGTGTGCCACTGTGCGTTTTGGTTTTCTATGCGTATTTAAGATAAAAGCTACTTTGTTTAACATGTTTTTTATCAAAGATTAATAACTAAAATGTCCAAATCAAACGCTCGATCACTTTGTTGAATTGAACTGGATGGAGATGCACCTACAGGAGTTGCAAGACGCAGCCAGGCGGTGTTTGAGCAGCAGGGCTGGTGTATCTGTTGTGGTTTAGACTTAATCTTGTAATTTTGATTAGATGAGCCCCCTTGTGTCCGAGGGGCCAAGAGATTCGTTTGGGCTCCTGTGGCTGCAGTGTTCGTGCTTGTGCACCAGGCGGGGCGCACAGACTGTGGTTATGGAGCTCAGAGTGTTGTGTGGATGGACTTCACTTATCCCTGTGTAGAAAAAGCACCGTGTTCAAACCACCAGTGGAGCTAATATTTGCAGAAATGAAATCCTTTTTAAGCCTCCTGTTATGTTTGGGGTCTATTTGATCCCCTTCAATCTCTAAATAAGTGATTGACATCATTTTTTTCAATTTTATTTAAAGGGATATTTACACACAAATACATTTTCTGGAGGTTTAAATTGCTGGGGGACCCCAAGGATAAAAGATGTCAGTAAATTTGAAGGTAATAAGAGGGCTGAGTAAACTTACAGTATAAGCTAAGTCCATGTAAAAGCCATCGACCCTTTAATTTGGTAATAAAGAAGTAAATCTAATCAAAGAAGGGGGTTTGGGAGTTAATGGAGCAATTTCAAAACTCTTGAAATGATCTAAAAATATGTATTTGCACAACAAAAAGGGTGTGCGATCAAAATCCCTCATGATTTTTGATATTAATATACATCTACATAACCAATAGGCAGCCCATATTATCACAGGCTGACTTTTTAGGGACCTTTTGAGCTCAATCAGACTCCATCCCTGCAGGGTTTAAGTCAGTGAGAATCAGAGGTGCATGCAGTGATCCGCACAGCCACAGAGATGATCAAAGCAACCAGAGAGCAATAAATTTCCAGTTTGTGCATCTGAGAATCAAACAGCATGTCTAAATGTTTTTTTTTTTTTCTTAGTCCCTCATTACTAAATACCTACAGAGTGTTATTCGGTGCAAAGTATCTACCTCAGGGTATGGGCGTCAGCTGAAGGCAGGCAGCAAGGTGTGGCACTCATTGTGTAAGTTAGTCCAGATGGATCTTGCAGTATTTGTCGTCACCATGGAAAGTGGTGATTAAATAATTAGAGCTGTCAATCTGGATTCCCGTTTAAAAAAGCCTTAACTCAGGTGAACGTTTGGGTACACGGTGCAGGGTGCGTGTACGTTATGTAATTAGGCATGCCTAGCTGCAACACACAACAATGTCAATTCCAGACGTGCAGCTTCAACAGTTTTTTTTTGTGTCCTCAGACTGATTGATGCGCTGCTGATCCTAAAGGACCAAACATGAAGATAGGGCTGTCACTGGCCACGGCTGCCTTCTTTGCAGTCCTGCTGTCCTCCGTAGATGCTCAAGGTAAATGAAACCACCTGGCCTCACCACACGTACATACTCTATCCCAACTCTGGCTCTTCCTCACCTCATCCTCTCCTTTCATCTCTTCTCTCCACCGGTTAATTATGTTACAGGAATTGATGTACTGATAAACTGAATAAAGTTATTCCTGTTTCCTGTGTATGCTATTTGACTATGTGACTGATTCCTTAATGACTGTCCTTGCTTTTTTATCCCTCATTTGTAGCTTATTTTGTCGGATTTGTCTATCAGGACTCATTACGGGCTTTGATGTAAAATCCAAAAACCAGGATCCCATTTAGGCTGTAATTTAAATGGTTTTAACCGATACTTGAGGAGCAATTTTCTCATTCACATTTGGCAAAAGTCAGAAACCGAGCACACTAAAGTTTATTTCATTTCCAATTTCTAATTAAACGCACTAAACAGCAGGGCATATACTAAGAGCAGAACAAAAGTCATTTCATGGCTAATGTTTCCCCATAAATGTTTAAAGCGGGGCTGTTGCTGTTCCAGTTTTATGACGGCAAGCCTCTGCACTTTTTCCTAAGCAAAAAAAAAAAAGGGGGGAAAGCTGCCAAATCGTTGGTAATTAAGCCCTGAAGTGCTAGATCACATATTTTTGTAACCTTATTATGATTAGGTTGTAGTAAGATCTTGTAAACCTATGTACCTCCTCTGCAATGGTTTTTGAATGGTTGCAGCACTAAGTAAAACATCAATGAAGTCATTAAATTGCTTGTCAGAGAACACTAACAGTATAATAGCATAGTCGTTTCAAATAAATCAGAAAAGTCTAAACTTAACATTAAAATGGCCAAATGTAGTGCATGAAATAGTCAGATCAATTTAGTGAAAATATCAAAAGTGACAGCGCCGGTTCAGGAGTATTGTCTTATTCTCAGTGTTGCGGTACAGATGGAGGAGAGTCATTTTGTGGGTAGGAAGTTTAATAAATGGAAATATCCAAGGAAAATGCAAGTGATTACAAACTGAAACGTTTTTTTTTTTCCTTTCCAACTCTGATTTTATGCTCATACAATACATCTCAGCTGAAGTCAAATGCTTTTGCTTGAACATGTCACGCGAACCGACATGTCACACACGTTTAAAAGTCCGTTTTAGTTGCTGCAGTTTTGACAGAAAATGACTCAATGTCATATCAAATGCAAACATTCAATCCAAAATAATGACAAATATGGAAATATGGTATGGAAACCTTCTGATTTTTTTCCTCCCCCCTCCCATTTGAAAGCTCTCTTTGCGTGGTGAGAGGAGTCTACTCTCACATATCTCCGCTAACGGAATGGAAAGATGAAATACGAGAATAGCAAATTAATCCTCAGACAGCACAAAGACAAAGAGCCTTTCTCGGCCTTCTTTTTGCGGGCATTTGCAGAAATGCTGAGTTGCAAGACATATGGAAAGTTAATATGCAGTAATGTTTAATGTCAGCACATGTTGTGGAATTACTTTGGCATCTGTCCTGCCTCTTTGGGGAGAGTCAGTGTTCTTTCCTCCTCCTCCTCTTGGTCTCTCCTCCTGGCAGTGGCTCAGGTCGGGATTGCTGGCTGCTTGGCTGGCTGGGTGACTG